TCATTACACTCGCCTCAAGGAGTGGGGGACTGGAAGAGCGGGTGACTTAGCGCCTCCGTTAGCCAAAGAAGCAGAAATTCAAAATTTTTCACGAAGTTTACTCACCAGACGACGACAGATCAGCACACAGTTCTACTCTCTTTCGCCTCGAATACTCTCGACTCAGAGAGTGGGGGACTCCTGATAGAGTATATAGACTCGGACCCCCGGGTCTCACGACTATTGGGCCCGGACAACGGCCCACACACATCTTACAGATATCATTTGTATTATTGTACTGCTTATATGTCATTTGTATGTGACTATGTACTAGATTAGTCTTTTATGTAGTTGGGCTACCGGGCCCATATTAGCGGCCCGACCCATTATTTCCCTATTTATACTCCTCTTGGAGCCATTTGTAACCCTACAACATAATTTCACAATTCACTATTCATTCATCTTCCTCTCTATATGCTCAAATCTCTCCATTTTACATAGACTTGGATACCTATAATCCATCAGTTACTATTCACATGTCAATCAATCTACTTTTAATCATTTTCTCACTTTATTAAAATTTAAGGATTTGCCCTAAATAGGACTAAAATAATAGGAAAATTCCTAACTAGGACCACTCTCTAATTTATTCCCAAAACAGGACTATTTTAATGTATATTCCTGAAATACCCCTATTTTAATTTATGTCAGACTCTTCTTTTCTGGTCCGCATCTCTACTCTCGTAGCATCCCATCTCCCCCTCCTTTCTACCCTCTCCCCTCTCTCCTCCTCTCTTCTTCCATGAATCAATTCCATATTTCTTCAACCATTCCTCCACCTCCGGCGAACTACGAAGGTATGGACGGAGAATACTTCTCTTTAAATCCGGTTACTAGTGGGCACCGCCGCAACGGCGATTATTGAAGGTAATTTTTTATTTTCTTCTTCTTTTCTTTCTCCCTTCTTCTCCTTTCTTCTTCTCCATTCTCCTTTCTTCTTCTGCATTCTTTTCCTTCCTTTTGCAACGTGAAGCTGCATTAAATAAATTATCCTTTCATTCATTTATTTTTGCATAAGTTGGCTTTAGATATATCCAGATCTATTTCGACAAGTTTTTCATGCCTTCTCTCGTTTTTCTTTCAATTTCTCTTTCCATTTTTGTTTTTTTGAATTTTTATTTTATCTTTAACATTAAAAATTATAATTTTGCATTGATTTCAACCATTTTTTAAATTTCCGCACTCAGTGATTCACTATCCAGCGGCGGCGGACAAGGTGACGCCAGTAATGGAGGTGGTCGGCGATTGGCGGCAAAGACATTTGGCAGCGCCGCCATTGCCGGAGATGGAGATGGTCGGTGACCGGCAGTAGAGGATTTGGCAGCGCCGCCCGAGGCGTAGTGGTAGTGACTGACGACGACGAAGATTGTCGGTGAGGACTAGTGCAGGCGGCAACTTGCTGTGGTGGGGGTTGTCGAGTACTGTGTTATCCATTATCTTGTAGAGCTTTTATTTCATTATTATATTATTTTATATTTGAGCTTTCATTAAGGGTATTTGTGTCAAGCCACTGTTTATTAGTCCTACTAAACCTACCGAATATTTGAAGTCCTATTTATGAATTATTGTTATGATTTAGTCCTATATAGGTAATTTTCTCTTAAAATTTTTACCTCAACTTTTACCCTTTTATTTACCCTATTCGACCAAGGGTATAAAGGGAAAGTCAACCCGTTTAACTTTTTGCATAAATTTGCGATACCGGTCAAAACCGAAAGAAATGACCGGGACGGAGGGAGTATAACGTAAGCCTATATCCTTCACTTCTAAATCCTTTTGCCAAAAGCTCAAAAACGCACCGTTTGGGTTCCTTTGTACTACTGCGTACTACGTCCAAATGGTTGATGCAACCCCAAGGCCCCCCACCCCGACCCGACAGGATGCTGGGGAGGTTAATCACGGTGACGCAGTCACCAAAGCGGCACTAGGTCTTTACCCTGCGCATCAGAGAGTCAGCCTTATTTCAGGTTCTGAAAACCCTTTTCGACTGCTGCGGGATTCGAACTATGATCTCCGTACAATTTTTCCCACCCCTCTACCAATTAAGGTATCTGTGGGGGTTCTACTCCTGCGTACTACTACTACAAACAAAGGTGTCAATTTCCTCGATTCCTCCCTCTATTTATCCCTTCGTAGCTTCATTCGAAATCTTCCCCAATTCCAAGTTTTGAAATCTCAAGAATCTGTTGTTTAGCTTCTCCATACAAAATCTTCCTCAAATCCAAGTTTATAGATCTCAAAAATCTGATATTTGAGAATGATTACATCAACAACCCAAGAGAAAGGATCGGCAGCAACTTCCAGGCATAACAATAACCCCCAAGACCGCCATTCTCACCGGAGGAACAGCTTCGGTTTTGAGGATATGACGGCCGCCGCAAGGAAAGCTGTCGTCTCTACAACATCATTACCAGCTCCGAAAAAGAATCACGGGAAAAGGTTGTTCTTAACCCAGCTCAGCTATTTTAGCTTAGAATCTTTCTTTCTCCTGGCCTGCCTCACGGCGTCGCTGCTGCTTCTGCCGCTGGTCCTGCCGCCGCTTCCGCCGCCGCCGTTGATGTTTCTCCTCGTTCCGGTGTGCATTCTGGCCGTTCTCATGATGCTGGCTTTTATGCCTTGTACTGTCCGGGAAATGACCCATCAATATGTATAAATTACTGGCGGTAAAGAGCAATTTTACATTAAAATTATTGAATGGAAGATAAAATTGTTGTAAGGTGGTTAAAATTTTTATACTCTCTCCCGTTTTTAATTAACATTAAACTTTCCTTTTTGCGCTCTCTCGTATTAAACTTTACATTTCCCTATTTACCTTATTTGACAAACAAATCTATATCAAACAGTGTCAAACAACGCACTGTACAGTAAAATCAAATTTATTTACTCAATATGTGTGAAGTCAATATGTAGACTTCCTTAAGAACGTGAGGGAGTGTGCATATCAGAGCAATGAAAGTTATATGACAACACATGATCAAGCAAATTGAATTTTAAATTTCGATATTCAAAAAAATGTGAAAACATAAGAGCATAGGATTTAAAATACATTAGTAAATGTGTCGGCTGCCTAATCAAACTACTTACCGCCGGAACTCGGGAAGCCGTAAATGTGTACAAAAAACTTTTTTTTGATGTCCATACAAAACGTGTTTTGTTTGTGACAGAAAAAAGTCTTAACAAATAGTTTGTACAAGTTTGTAATCAGTAAAATATGTACAATAAGAATCGTTACTCCTCAGCTATAAGCCTATAACCCATTGAGATAACAACCATAGTGTATATGTACACGAAAAAACTTACTTGGTATGCAAATACTTGCTACGTAACTTACAACTTTGCATACTTTTTTTTGGTTCTTTACTATTGAAACAAAAAAAATGATTTTTGGAATCATTTTTATGGTCCTGATATTAAAAAACAAAACACATTCATTATTTACATAAAGTGATTGAGCAACCAAACTTTTTTTCGTTGTTTAAATAGAAATTGCCCAATATAGGAGTAAATATAAACATAACCTCACAAATAGGAGTAAAATTTAAAACTTCCTTCAATAGGAGTAAACATTAATTTTGTACCCTTAATATCCCTAACCTAGTTAATTCTAAAATATGACTTATTTAATCCTAACCTAGTTAATTTATGACTTATTCGATAATAATTTATTTATTTATTTATTTTTCAAAAAATAAAAAAATATATAAAAAAACTCAAAAAAATAAAATAAAATTCACCGCCGCCTCAGCACCACCACCTCCGGTCACCAGGGGAAAAAAATGCCAAGTTCATTACGAATGTCATATTTATGGCAGAAAACAATGAAAATGTTGGCATTCGCAAAGAGAAATCTGCCATGTTTTCGGCATTTTCAGAAAAAAGGTAGTTTTTAGAAAAAATGGAATTTTTTTTCACCGCCCGGAGGTGGTGGTGCAAGGAGGTATTACAAGCTGTGGGAAAGGCATCCATATTTTTTAAATTTTTTTATGGAGTTTTATTTTTTTTATTAATTTTTTTTAAAAAATAAAAAATTAAAAAAAAAATAGTTTTTTTAAATTTTTTTTATTTTATTAATATTTATAAATTTTTTAATTATTTTTCTACGATTTTTTGAATTTTTTTTCGAATTTATTATGAATTAAACATTTAATTAAAAGTTGTTGGGGCTTGGGTATAGGTATACTTGTCCAAACACTAAAGTTACTCCTATTCAAAACATGATACTCCTGTTTTTGCATTTTGCCTATGTTTTGCTCCTATTTATGGAATTCTCTCTTGTTTAAATTGAAATCAATTTTTTATTTCTTATACTCCTTATTGAACTTGTTACATTTGGATTAGTCTGCAATTACATTTCTCATCAAAGTGAACTGCATTCTTTACACACGAGTTACATCACTCTGTTACTGAAACAAAAGGTTAGTATTCACGTGTGTTACTACTTACGTGTGTTTTAGTTCTGGGAGTACCATGCTTAACATGAGTTTCTCCCACGATATAACAACTGTCATGTTGATGTTTCAGATCAGGGGTTAAGGCAATAGAATCAAGAGTTCATATCTTTTCTCACATTCAATGTGAATTACTTTTAATTTGATCTCACATCTCTAATCTATTACTACCCCTTCTCACTAACATTTGGACATGAGGAGGTGAAACAATTATTAAGAAAAGTTGATTTATGTGATTGATATTAAATTGATAAAATAAGAATAAAATAAGAATAATTTAGAATCATGAAAATTTTATCACGTTTGGTATGAAACAATCTTAGTATGATGAATGAAAAGGAAAGATGGGTAAATCTTAGCGGGATTATTAAAAAATGTAACCAGCCTCTGCAGCCCAAACAACTGAGCCCACCCAGGTGACCCAACAACCCACACTTGTACCCCTGTCGGCCCATCTAAGGATCTACCCAGCCCATGTGAAGCGCAGACACAAGCACCCTGCGGCCTGCGGCCCTGCACCCTCCTGGCCTCCTCTGCGCAGCAACAGGCAAAAGCAAGTCAGCAAGCACGAGTACGACGCTGACGCGTCCAGCAACCCACCCTACTTCCGAGTTCCGCCAATCCGTCGATCTCTGTTCAGCATTTCTGCCGCCGCCCGCCTTGCCGGAGGCCTGAGAATCTCCCTTTCCTATTTTGGGTAAGTTTTTAAATTTATTGTGTATTTTTGGAGTTTATTCATTACCAATCCAATTTTATTAATTGTTAATTTTTTGTGCAATTCTATTCTCATTTAATAAAATGTTAATTGCATTGTAATTATGATTTAATTTTTATAATGCTATTTTTACAATTTTATGATTTAGTTTCTTATAATGTTACAATTATACTCATATTACTTAAATTGTAGTCTTTTTAGGTTGTTTGACAAAGAATTTATATGAAACGATTATACACCCCTATTCCTAAAGGTAGTAAAGGGCGGAACATTGGGTGTTAGTTATCGAATAATTTAATTTCTTCGTCAGTAATGCTATTCCTATCACTGAAAATAATGTTAAAAAGCCTTGAATCGAAGTTGAACTGCATGGTTTTGTTACTCTGAGAAAGATGTTTTTGTTAAAATTGAGAATGAAGTCATTATGAGACGATTTCAGAGTATGACACCTCGAAGACAAAGATTACCACCTCGCAATTATCCCCTTTCATTTGACGCATCAATTGCTAATCAAAATTAAGTTATTCTTTAATTAGTTGTTTTATTTAATTTTTTTGGTTACTATATTGATGATTGATGATATATATGTAATATGATTTATGTGCTAATGTGCCTCTACAAGATACCCTAGCTGGTTCCGCCACCGCTGATAATGCCTCCTTCTGTATAACTTGGTACATGGTGGTGACAATTTAACAATTATGAAGCTGTGCCCTATGCATCCTTTTTTGCTAATTGGTTATTTGATTCTTGGTATTCATTTAATTAGTGTGAGGGATGAAATGGTTATTTGATTCTTGGTATTCATCTAATTGTGGATATACATTTAAAACCAGATCTTGTGCGTGTTATTGCTGAACGGTCCGTACATATTAAGTTTATCCTTTCTTCGCCATGTTTGGCAATGAGTTGTTTTGCATGAGCTGTTAGTGCTTTATATTAGTTGATTGATGTTAGCTCTTTATATTAGTTGTACCAACTTTTCACTTTAGATATTAATGTGGAGGTAAAGAGCTTTTAGTTGCTTAAGTGCACAAGATGTACAATAAGAATCTGTTTAGAAGGCTTTCTTTTAAAAAATCCCAAAAACGCTTCGTGAAAATGGGATCTTTGTGTGACTTTAGCTAGTTTGGCATGGTCAGTCACGTAAATCTTTTTATACATAAAAGCATTACAAATCTTATTTCTTCCTCCTGCCCATTTTACATATTCAATCTCAGCCTTCCATAATATGCCTCATTCATGCATTTTCTATGAGTTTTTTTATCTGACTGAGGGAAACAGATTATTAGCTGTCCATAGGCATTTCAGCAGAGTCATAGACAGATAGTCTACTCCGGCAGATGTTTTATGAAGCATTCAAGGGAGCGGTGGAGAGAATTGCCCACCTACACGATCATATTTGCTTCCATTGACAAAAGCTTCTTCAACGTCAAACCTTTCATGACGTCTTTGATAACTTGGAAGAAATTCATCTTCGAAACCCATCAATGATGGATGAAAAAAACCATTTTTTCAAATGACCGAGTAACTTCAAATCTTTCTTGATTCAGATTTTTGATTAATTTGACCTTATTGGTCTCCTTTTCTGTTATTATCATCCTTATTCTTTCTTCTTTCACGTAGTGATTTGTCCACTCATGTGATAGACTGATGAGAGACCAAAACTTGCATAATCACATCTGTCCCTCGGATTTCTATGCTTTGCTCCTCCAGAAGAGCCTTAAAATCAAGGACCCGTTCTCCACCAGATTGATCCATGCCCGTATAATCAAATGCGGCCTACATTTAGGCCAGTTTCTCATGAATAATCTCATCAATGCATATGGGAAAAATGGGATTGTTTCTGATGCTTGTAGGCTGTTTGATGAGTTGCCTACAAGGGACGCATCTTCCTGGAATACATTGCTATCTGCTTATGTGAAAAATGGCTTGATCCATGAAGCGCGACTCCTATTTAGAGAGGTGCCTCTTCCCGATGATGTCACTTGGACAACTATGATTGTTGGGCATAATTTTATTGGTCAGTTCAAAGTTGCAATTAAGATGTTTATGGAGATGATTTTCTGCTATGCTTTGCCTACACAGTATACAGCTACAAGCATTCTTGCTTCTTGTGCTGCAATTAGATCATTGGACTTGGGCAGGAAAGTGCATTCTTTTGTTGTCAAATTTGGTCTAAGTAGGCATGTTTCTGTAGATAATTCGTTGTTGAATATGTATGCCAAAGCAGGTGATCTTAGTACAGCTGAGATTATTTTTGATAGGATAGCTGTAAAGAACATATCTAGCCTGAACACAATGATTTCGTTGTACACGCATACGGCCCAGGTAGATCTTGCACTGGCACTCTTTGAGCAAATGAATGATAGGGACATTGTTTCCTGGAATTCAATCATTGCAGGTTATAATCAACATGGATTTGATGTTGCAGCATTGAGTATGTTTTATAGAATGCTTAGGCAATCCTCATTGAAGCCTGATAAATATACTTTAGCAAGTGTGTTATCAGCTTGCACTAATCTTGAAGTGATCCACATAGGGAAACAAATTCATACTCACATTCTTAGAACCGAGTTTGACACTTCTGGGGCGGTTGGGAATGCTCTGGTATCCATGTACTCCCGATGTGGAGCAGTAAGCACCGCCCAAACCATTTTGGAGCAAAGTAGAATATCAGATTTAAATGTCATTGCCTTTACAGCCCTATTGGATGGTTACATTAAGCTTGGTGATATAGATCCAGCAAGGAAGATCTTCGACTCTCTAAAGGACCGGGATGTGATTTCATGGACCGCTATGATTGTCGGTTATGTGCAGAACGGCTTCTACAATGATGCAATGGATCTCTTTAGATTAATGTCTCAAACAGGCCCAGAACCCAATAGCTATACACTAGCAGCTATGCTTAGTGTTTGCTCAAATTTAGCATCTTTGAATCATGGCAAACAAATCCACGTTGCTGCCCTAAAATCAGGGGAAGCATCATCAATATCTGTGAGTAATGCTTTGATCACCATGTATGCAAAGGGTGGAAGCTTAAGTTGTGCTTGTAGTGTGTTTAATTTGATACTACCTGAAAAAAGAGAAACAGTATCTTGGACTTCGATGATCCTAGCATTTGCTCAACATGGATTTGGAGAGGAATCCATACAGTTATTCGAGGATATGCTGGCCATGGGCATCAGGCCCGACCATATTACTTATGTGGGTGTTCTCTCTGCCTGTATACATGTTGGCTTAGTGGCAAGAGGCCGTCAATACTTCAAGATGATGAGTGTTGTGCATAGTATTGAACCCACTCCAAGCCACTATGCCTGCATGATCGACCTCTTCAGCCGTGCTGGACTACTACAAGAGGCACAAGATTTCATAGAGAAGATGCCTCTTGAACCAGATGCCATAGCTTGGGGTTCACTTTTAGCGTCATGTAAGGTTCACAAGAATGTTGATCTGGGAAAACTTGCAGCGGAGAGATTGCTTAAAATTGATCCTGAAAACAGTGGGGCCTACTCGGCACTTGCTAATGTATATGCTGCTTGCAGGAAGTGGGAGGAAGCTGCTAAAATCAGAAAACTGATGAAGGACAGACAGGTGAAGAAAGAACAGGGAATTAGCTGGGTTCAGATAAAGAATGGAGTCCATGTTTTCGGAGTTGAAGATGGGCTCCATCCCCAAAGGGATGCTATATATCAGACGATGGAGAAAATATGGAAAGAGATTAAAAAACTGGGTTTCGTTCCAGACACTGAGTCAGTGCTGCATGATCTTGATAATGAGTTGAAAGAGCATCTCCTTCGGCATCACAGTGAAAAGCTTGCTATTGCATTTGGTCTGCTAAATACCCCTGACAACACTACTTTAAGGATCATGAAAAACCTTAGAGTTTGTAATGACTGTCACTCTGCCATTAAATACATCTCCAAGCTTGTTGGTAGAGAAATTATTGTTAGAGATGCCACTCGTTTTCACCATTTCAAAGACGGGTTTTGCTCTTGTCGGGATTATTGGTAAAAAGGGAAAGTGCGTGTAAGCGTGTTGAAGTTGAAAGAGCATTTCAAACCTGGAAACTCTGGCAAGTAATGTTTTTTCACTCTTTTTTTGAGTGTAATACTTTTCATTTGGAGGACGAAAAACAGACAAAATGTGTCTGGAAATTTTAAAGAGTTTTCATACTAACATGGAACTATGTATTTTTTTGTTAACTTGGACCTCGTTCTTAAGTTATGTCTCTTATGCTTCATTTTGTATCAGGACTTTGTCAAGGAAAAGGTCTGTGAAGCCAAAAATATGAACCAAGAGGTATTTGGTTAAATATCTTGGAAACTTTAGAATTTTCATGAGAAACATCTTGTCTATTTTGTTTCATTTCACCACTTCAATTTTGTATGATAAGCAAGGGAATCCAGAAGAAGGCAATGTCAAATGAGCGAGTAAATAAATGCTGCATTTGGAAATATGAGATTCTACAAGATATATCCTGTCTACTCACATGATGCTTTCGATGTATCACTTGTGAAGGTCAAGTTCACGAATATCATGATTTTTCCTTGTATGGTATTTATAGACATCATAAAGATGGGATCATTTAAATATTTGTCTCTAAAAACTTTATGATACCACATGGTTATGTAACTAGATGCTATATAAGCTGAGGCAGAAGCCACACACCCATAGACTTTATACATGCATGATGCATCCATAACAACATTGATTGGTAGTGAAGATTCTTGTACTCTACTTAAACTTGTTAATCTTTTCCATCAATCGATGTATCAATTACCTAATCTGGAACACTAGTTTTCAGTAAGTTGAGCTTTTTAAGATGAATGATCCTTACTGTGAGTTAGATCTCTCTTGTTTGTATCCTCTATGATTTTTGAGAAATCTCGAATGCCTCTCCTCCAGCCCGTGAAGTGAATTATGTATCAGAGTTTACCTTATTATCTCACATATCTATCTTTCTTGCAGTCATGGCTGGATTGGCTCCCAAGGGTTCTGCATTTGATGCTCATCAGTATGATATCAAATGAAAGAATTGTACGTTTGATCAAGCATTTTAAATTTTCTTTGCATGCATAAATAGACTGGTGAAGACACGGTTTTTGACCCCCCCGGAAAAAGTATTTTGTATTTCACATATACTCCAGTACCATTTAAAATATTAGAGTTGGACGCATAGTCTGGGCCAGTGAATTGTCTTTGTAGGATATCTATTGATGCGATATTGTGTCATTTTTCACATCCTATAATGAGGTGTATGATATCTTTGACTCCATAGTCTTGCAAGAAAGCCCCCTTAGAGGAATATATGTGATAGAGTATATGGGTCCAGGCCCCATGACCCACATACTCGGAAGAACAAGCACTGCTGTTACCCAGTGGGACCCCCGTCGGCCAGACGTCCTCGTCGGCCAGATACACATCATCTCAGAATATGGTCCAGAGTCCAGGAGACCCGGGTGGTCCCTTCGGTCGAGGCTCCGTCGGCCATGGCTTCATCGGCTAGACCTCCGTCGGCCACAGGAAGCTCACAGAACCAGATTTGTACACTTAATTAGTATATTCGAATGTAATGAGCCCAATAGAGGCCTTATCTTGTAATGGGCCTCCCAAGCCCAAGACTTGGAAGCCCAACCCATATTTCCCTATAAATATCCCTATCGGAGGTAGTTGGAAGGGGTTGACAAATACATTAATTGCATATTTATTTCACTTCTCTCTCTAGCTCTCACTTCTCTCTAAGGGTTAATACTCTATTAATATGCTTATGGTAATTTTTTCCAAATCCCAATGTTTATTGTTTTTTATACAACTTGTACTCTGAATTTATAAGCTGAAAACATATTGCGTTCTTTGCAACTTACTAGTAGAACACTAAGGTTTAAAGCTGACAATATACTGCCTTGTAATTGTGCTAGTGGAACATATATGTCATTTTGAATAGCTGAGGTGAAACCTTGTTTATTCAATGGGCTCAAGTGCTGATTTTATGCATTTTACAAGTTAACTTAACTATGAAAGTTTTAACATTAGCTTCCTAAGGAGCTACATGAGCTTCTCAGACAATTTGTTTAAATTGATAGTGAACATCCCCAGTTAAGTTAAAGAAATAATTACATACATATGACTAAAATAAAGATTGTTTACAAAAATGTGACTAGTGACTAGAGTAATAATGAAATCGTTGTAGTAACCATTAGTCAAATTTGTGTAAATAAGTGATATTTTAGTAATATTTTTGTAAAAAATCCTTAGTACTGCAGAAGTGTTTGCAAGCTGCAACAACTTTTAAAAGTGATGTTTAGTTTTTGCTAAAAAAGTGTTGTTAGATACATGCTTCAATTTAAAGTTATAAACTGTAAAAATAGAGTGTTTGAAATATTCTTTAACTTTTTCTATTAAAGAAAATATAATTTTTCATGACTTACCTTTTCAAATTATTTAGTATTCGATCAGAGAAAGTCCTGTATTGGCTGTATAGGTCGTAGAGTTAAATCGTCAACCTGTTCTGATCTGGCTGCTATAAACTCTATTCTGCATCCCCTCTTCGACCTTTTGGATTGTGTTCACCCCTGTTCATTCATTGCTTATTCATATCAAAGAGAAACAATATCGAATCATGAAGACCTCGATCTGCTCCCATCGCTTCAAGATAGGGTTTTGCAAACACCTTTTGCGTCTCCATCATCTCACCCTACTGGTCAGTTTTCCATCCTTGGAGTTTTTTTACTTGTTAAAATATATTCTTTTTCATGAAATGTGCTCGTTGATTCGCATTGGCACCAGCGGTCCCATTTTCAGGTTATCTTTCGAATGAAGGATAACCTGAAAAGAATTAAGAGAGTATAGATTATGATTCTGAGATTGCTAAGAAAGAACTCAAATCTTATCCAAAATTTCCAAGTCCTCCAAAGATCCAGAGGTGGGAAGGTTTTCTGGTTTGCGGATCTGTAAGTTACTGACGTCATTGAAATAGTGTTAGTGCTAAAAGCTGTATGTTTTTTAGGCAGTTGAGGTCTAGTGTTCTAAATCCTATTGTTGATATCTTAGGAACCAATTAGTCTCTCCCGTGGAGCTTAGCAACCATTTGTCTGATATCTGATTTATTCAGTTACACTTGAGTTTTTTTTAAATATTCCTTGTTTAAATAGTCCTTGAGTTTTTTTTATTCAATTAGTTTCATGATCAAATATAGGAATTTGCTTTCTGGAGATGCACTTTGGGGTGTTGGGCAACATTCAGAGTCTTAACTGAGATTAGACAACCAAGGACTAGCTCTTCCGTAAAGCTATATGCAATATGGAAAATGGGGTGCTTGGATGAAAAGACTTTCAGTTTTTTTTGTTTGGCGATGCTTATAAGAGACATAACAATGAGAAGCTTGGGGAAGTGGTTGCACTTTTCAATTGCAGTGTCCTCAAGGATAATTCGGTACCATTGTTAGACCAGTATCATTCCTTGTTCTTTATTAGTGGCTAACTTTTGATAACGGTTTCTTATTTGCTTCTTTTTAGGAGGGTTGCTTTTGTTTGAGCTCATTCCAGCAAGTAGCATTCTAAAGATTGGCACATCTGTCGACTATGGAATTGCAAGGGGACAAGGAAGGATGAAATGGCCTGCACATCATTCATTAATAAGTATTTTGCTTCAACTCTACATCATATGTGTATAAGTATATCTGTAAAAAAGATGTGCATTGTTTTTGGCTACAGATGGTGATTATCAGATGGTTTCTGCTCGATATATGTTTTAGGGAACTAAGAAACTCTAGGACAGTGTCCTATTGATATTTGCATTTTCTAGTTAACTAACAGATGTATTTAGTTTTCACCGAAATGTAATATCCAGGATCATAAATTCATAATGCACCAATCTTGTACCGTAAAATTAAGGGTCCATTTGGAACATGGTAAATGCTACAGAGAAAATAGGGAGGAAAATAATTGGAAGAAAAGAAAATGTTGGGGAAGTAAGAAGTTGCTTCCAACTCAATATATCAATTTTAGATATTTGTTCATACCCTTATTATTGAAATACTTTTATCGGTAAAATTTCAATTTACAAAAGAAAGTTAACCTTGTGCATCTTATTAGCTAAAGCCAAACACCAGAACAATTTTCATTAGAGTTGTTTTCATTCCACTGCCATTTTCACTTTTCATTAGAGTACAACAATCTTGACTACCGACTACCGAGTACCAATCAATGTTGTTATGGATGCATGTATAAATTTTATGGGTGTGGTGTGTGGCTTCTGCCTCAGCTTATATGGCATCTAGTTACACAACAATATGGCAACAATAATAGTATCATAAAGTTTCTAAAGACAAATATTTAGATGATCCCAACTTTATGATATCTATAAATATCATACAAGTAAAAAACTTGAAATCGTGAATTTGACCTTCACATCTGAGTATTTGACACATCCAAAGCATCATGTGAGTACAGGATAGTGTTGGACTCGGGTCGGGCCACCCGGCCCGTGGACCAGCCCGGCCCGCTACTGTGCGGGACCGGGACCGGCCCGGTTCTCGGGTCCGGGACCGGCCCGGTTCTCGGGTCCGGGTCCTGGTCGGGCCTAGCTCGGGGGTTAGGGCGGGTCCGGGCTCGGGTCTCACATTTGGCGAACCGGCCCGGGCCAAAATTGATTTTTTTTTTCATTTTTGGGGTTCCACCCGGGTTGGACTTGATGGTTAGGATGGGTTTGGGGGGGGGGGGGGGGGTTGGGAGGGTGTGGGGTGGGGGTGGGGGGTTAGGAAAGCAAAAAAAAAAAAAAATACCCAAACCGGAGGCCCAACCCGGACCTGGCCCGGACCCGAGTCCACCCCTAGTACAGGATATATATTGTAGAATCTCATATTTTCCAATGCAGCATTTGTTTGAATTGTTTCCTTGCTCATTTTCTAAATTGCCCTCTACCGGGCTTTTCCTTGCCTATCATACAAAATTTGTCGAATCTTCCCCTCTTCCTCAACCTGAATTGCAACCCTCCTCCTCCCCAACCTGAATCGCAACCCTTCTCCTCCTCTGCCTCCCCAATCTGATATGCAATCCTCTCCCCCCCTTCTCCTCGTTCCTATTCCCGATTCTTTGCTTTTTTTATTAATCAAATTTAAAATAAAAATTTGAATTTGAAAGTTTCAAATGAAAATATATATGAATCATTGAATTTGAATTTCTTCTTATCAATTTTGATTAATTTGAATCCCAAAATTCCCTAACTAATGATTCTCAAGCAAATGTCACTTTTTGAATTAGAGAATGCCATATTTATTAGACATTTTTAAAAAATGTCACTTTATGTCATTACAGTATTTGGAAATGCCATATTGAGAACGACTACTTGGTCGAAGAATGGTGGCGGCGAACTATAAATTCTTAAAGTAAATGAAAGCATGTTTTCATATGCAACATACAAATAATATTAACTCAAGAATATTTATATACTTTATAAGCAATAACAAGTCAATTCGCCAATGTTATTTTCTATAGAAATTACTCAAAATAGAACTAAAACTAAATCAAAAACTCAAAGTAGGACTTACTAGGATTTTCTTTTCAAAATAGGACCATATTAGTCCTATTGGAAACATACCTATTTTTTCATTCCATTCTTACCCTTCCTTTAAATATGAGTTAATTAAATGTTTAATTCATAATAAATTCGAAAAAAATTTAAAAATTCGTAGAAAAATAATTAAAAAATTTATAAATTTATAAAATAAAAAATAATTTATTTTTTGTTTTTTTTTAAAAATTAATAAAAATAGTAAAACTCCATAAAAAAATTAAAAAATATGGATGCCTTTCCCACCGCCTGTACTACCTCCCTGCACCATCATCTCTGGGGTGGTGAAAAAATGCCATTTTCCCTAAAAACTGTCATTTGTTTCTGAAAATGTCAAAAACATGGCATATTTCTCTTTGCGAATGCCAACATTTTCATTGTTTTCTGCCATAAATATGGCATTCATAATGAACTTGGCATTTTTTTTTCTCCTGGTGACTGGAGGTGGTGGTGCAGAGGCAGCAGAGTCGGCGGTGAATTTTATTTTATTTTTTTGAGTTTTTTATTTTTTTGAGTTTTTTATTTTTTTATTTTTTTTTTAATTTTTTGAAAATAAATAAATAAATAAATTATTATTTTCGAAATATTTTTATTAATTTTTTAGTATTGTTTACAATTTTTTATTTATTTATTATTTTATTATGAATTAAAACATTTCAATGGCTATAAGGGTATATTTGTCCAAGACACATGTAATTAGTCCTATGAAAACATAGTTTATATTTTGATCTTATTTGTGCAAAGTGAGTGACTTTTAGTCCTATTTTGATAATTAACGCTATTTTATACAGAGTAATAGTAAGAAAGAGCATTTCTTAATATTTGGACCACAATATCAGGACTAGGACCGAGATAGTACTCAGGGGCGCTAGTATTAATGTGATTCCACTAAACCAGACTATTTCCTTGCCAGTTCTCTAGACAACTCATTCCTACCTTTTCAATAGTTCGGATGTTTTTACTTGGACCGTAATTGGTTGGTCTGGTCTGGTCTGATCTGTTTTAGTCTGGTCTGATCTGGTCTGGTCTGATTTTGTTTATATTTTTTCATAGATTTTATTTGTTTATATATATATATATATTATAATCCATAAATAATTATATTTTATTCATTTATAATTAAGAAATAGTAATTATAATAAAATAGTAAGTGTATTAATAATAACAACAATAACACTACTACTACTACTACTAATAATAATAATGATAATAATAATAATAGTAGTAATAATAGTAATAATAGTAATACTACTACTAATAATAATAACAATAACAACAACAACAACAACAACAATAACAACAACAACAACAACAACAATAACAATAACAATAACAACAACAACAACAACAATAATAATAATAATAATAATAACAACAACAACAACAACAACAATAATAATAATAATAATAATAATAATAATAATAATAATAATAAAATATGGTTTGGTCTGGTCTGGTCTGGTCTGGTCTGTTTTGGTCTGATCTGGTCTGGTCTGGTCTGGGACAAATTACAGTCCAAGTAAAAACAACCTTCATCATCCTATAAATTTGGGCTATATTGACTTTTTTTATCAATGATGATCAATATATAATTATTTCATATATGGAAATTATATGAAAGTGTTATTTGTTAAAAGTATTTCTTATAAGTTTCACATAGATATAATTACTACAATCATTATTCAAAGTTTATTTCCATCATTTGCAATGGAGCAAAAAATTCATTATTTTTTGGCTTGAGATTATGATAGAATAAAGCAAAATGGCTCAATAAACTGTCTGCGCTTCTTTGTTATGAAGCAGCGGTCAGTCGATGCAATTTTGGACGAAATTTTTACTATTGGTCATCCGGAAATAGTCTCTCTGTGCTTTAGTACAGGGGTAAGACTGCGTACATACGACCCCCCTTACACCGTAGGTGGGAGCCTTTGCGGCACTGGGGTAAATGAAAATAAAATGATTATTCAAAGTTTATCATCATATAAAAAATGTCAAATTGACCAAATTTGTGGGGTAGAGGGGACATCACTTAAGTGATAACTACATTAAATATCCTTTTTAGAAGTATTAAAGTAATAGAATTGCAAAAATGAAGTAAAAACATTTTTTGTTTTGAAGAATGTTTTACTTACATAAAACTATTCGAGTGTTCTCTTTGTAGTCAGATAGAAATGAAAGTTAACATAATTATTTGTTATTTTCATAACATTTGTTAATATTAATAATGATTAATAAGAAAAAACTCTATCTTTAGAAATTCCGTTCCCATAAGTTATTACTTATAAAATTAAAATTGGTAAACGTGTAATAATAAATATATATTTTAGGCCCAAATATTAGGGATATTATTTAATTTGTAAAACTCTACCATGTCATAAATATAATCCATGGCTCCCATACTGGTGAGCAACTAATTATTGAGAGGCGCAAATTATACTGTATGACCGGTCTTTATTTTTGGCAAGCACACTAACAGATTTCTTTATTTTTTATTCCTTTTGTTGTTAAAAATTGTAATAACATTTATATTTCATATCCGATTTTTATAAATTTTATATTATTTTTTTTATTTTTCATTATCTATCAAATGAGACCAATATTGCTTATGTAATTTTAAGAAATTATCGAACTATTATATTAATGAGTATTGGATTATAAGAAAAATCGAACTAAATTTAATACAGAAAAATAATTGTGTAAATCTCAATTTATCTTAAAATTGTGTATACAAAAAATTTATTGTATTATGTGTTTATACATGTGAGTTGCATATTTTTATATGTAAAGTTACATATTTTTACACGTAAAGTTACATATATATATACACACGAGTTGCATTTGGCCTGCCTGAACGCGAGTTACATATTTTTACACGTAAAGATACATATTTTTACATGTAAAGTTACATATTTATACACACGAGTTACATATTTATACACACGAGTTGTATTTGACCTGTCTGAACGCGAGTTACATATTTTTACACGTAAAGTTACATATTTTTACACGTAGAGTTACATATTTATACACACGAGTTGCACTTTTACCGTTTACACGAGAGGCTATTGTAAATGAGTTACATATTTATACACGCGAATTATTGCATTTGAACATTAGACACATGTAAAGGTGTTGGGAGTTTTGAAATTGATTTTTATGATCAATGCTAAAACTCTTGACAAGCGTTCTCGTTTATGCAAGATTGATTCTGAAGAAAAGGCAAGAAAGACGATTTGCTCCTAATGTGTTGTTGACTCGTTGTTAAGGATTTTGGTAAAGACGATGGGGCTTCTGCATAATTAGGAATTTTGAGAATAACTTTAATTTGAGGGATTAAATTGCAAATAACAGAATTAATACGGAGTATGACATGGAGATTTACTATAATTTAATTGGTTAAAAATAGGAATGCACCGAAACACGCTAAATTTTGAAGTGCACCATAGACGAACCCATTTCACAATACGTAATAAACTATAATATCTTCATACTACGTAATATTTTTTGCTTCCCTTGCTATTTCCAAATTCCAAACGGACTCAACGGTTTCAGGATCCCAGTAAATAAACCATGAAGTTCAAGCTTCAACCCAACTCCGGCCAAATTGCTTCACCAATCCCAAGCTCTCCATTCGTTTTCTCAACCCGAGAGCTTCTTCTGGTCTTCCACCTCTTGCATACAAATTTGAAAGAGTCACATAATGCCCTGCATTCTCAGGCTCCAACCTCAACATTTTCTTTGAAGCAAAAACTGCAATATCAAAATTTTGTTGTGCCACAGCAGCAGACAGAAGAGAACCCCAAATCTGCTTCCCGGGTTCCACACGCATTCTCACAATGAGCTCAACAGCTTCTTCAACCCGACCGGCTCGAGTCAGTAAATCAATCACACAAGTGAAGTGTTCCATCCTAAGTGTACAATAGTAGCCTTCTTGTGTCATTTTCTTGAAAATATCTACCCCTTGGTCAACAAGACCCGAATGACTGCAAGCTGACAGTGCAGAAGTGATAGTCAAAGAGTTTGGGAGAATTCCAGAAAGTTTCATCTCTTCCAGAAGTTGCAAAGAGGATTTACCAAAACCATGCATTCCAAACCCTCTGATCATGGTGTTCCATGAAACCAAGTCTTTATTACTCATATTGGAAAACAATTTATGCGCAGCTTTGATGCATCCACATTTTGCATACATGTGCATCAATGCATTCCAAACAGAGATGACATTATGGAAACTTCTTCTGCACACATATGCATGTATCTGTTTTCCGTATGCTAACTCACAGACCCGCAAAATGGTTGTGATTGTTGTTTGGTCATACTTGATTCTCATTTTCTGCATTTTTCTAAAACTCCAGATGGCCAAATGTGGTTCCCCTTGTTCAGCAAACCCTAGAATCATCGCGTTCCATGCAACCGAATCATCCAATTTGTTATCCACCAAGTCAAACACATGTATTGCGCATTCAGTTTTCCCACACTTTGAGTACATCAACACGAGTGCAGGTCCCGCCGATTGATAAAAATCACACAACTGTTTGGCCTTGATCCCGTACGCATGAATTTCCCGTCCTATCCTCAAAGCTTTCAAATGTTGGCATGAGGAAAGGACACTGGAAAGACAATCTAAGTCGGCATAATAAATACTTTTCCCACTCATCATGTTCTTGAATATCTCAAGCGAGGTGTCATGTTTTCCTATTCTTGAATAGCCTGATATCAGCGTTGTCCACGATACAACAGTTGGGTTCTTGATCTGTTTAAATATTTCACGAGCTTTATTACAGTGACCCATTCGGCAATGAGCATCCATGACAGTGTTGAATGTGAATATGTCAGGCTCAAAACCCTCAATTCTCATTAAACCCCACAATTCCACCGCCTTAGCAAGAAAATCATTGCAAACATATCCCGAAATGATTGCATTCCAAGAGCATAAATCTTTCTCTACCATCAGGTCAAAAACCAGCCTACCTTTGTGAAGGTCCCCACATTTTGAGTACATATCAATCAAAGAATTTCCAACATGCATGTCGCGTCCAGAACCACTAACGATTATGTCCTTGTGAACCTGAGTCCCGATTTCCAAGCAAGAACACAACGAACAAGCTCTCAGTACTCTCGGGAAGATGAACTTATCAGGCATAACACCACTCCGTTTCATCTTGGCATAAGTAATAACACATTCATAAGACAATGTGTTGCGAGAAAAGAAGGAAATCATTGATGTCCATGCAAAGATATTCGGTTCGGCCAATTGATCAAACAGGTGGAGTGCAGAACTTATATCGTCACAGTCAGCGTACATCTGGATTAATTTGGTGGCGAAGAATGAATTTCCAGAAAGCCCGTGTACAATGATGTGTTGATGGGCTTGTTTTCCAGGGCGCAATGTTTTGGAATTGCTCGAAAGGTGGAGTAAGATATTGAGATAGGAAACTGTGAGGGGTCTGGTATCTGGTGAGGGAATAGATGACAATGCTCTGCAAAAATTCCATAATCTCATCAAATCTTAAGCCTGTTATTCCTGTATAGATGATAAAGCTTTTCCCTAAGCTTAACTTCAAAGTTTTGACACAGAATTAATAACAAAAGAAACCTGTGAAGCTAGCTGAGAGATTAGTAAAACAATGAAAAATAGATTGTTAGATTTTTTTTAATGATTTAAAAAGTTGATTATTCAGATGTAAAATTACATAAATTTGGAATTTAATTTGTTGTTGTTATTTAAGCCTTATTTTAGAGAAAAATAACTGATAGATTTAAAACAAAAATAACCATGAGATTTTAATTTTAGAACTTGGACCTAAAATATCTATTTACGAAAAATTTTGAGCCTAAAATATCTACCACTTAAAATTTCATTTTTTTTATTTTATATATGTAATATTGGTGTGAATGGTAAACATTTGAATTTTGATATATTTCCTATAAAAATTGGAATATAAACTAAAACTTATATTCTCTTCGACCCGCAAAATAGTTCTCAGTTTCCTTTTTGGACCGTCCCAAAAAATAATTCTCATTTCTCTTTAATAACTATTTTATGCGGGAAGTATGTTTTTTCTTTTTCTTTGTTGTCATAACTCTTGTTGTTCTTTTTTTTATTTTTATCATAACTGCGCTTTTTACTGCGCACTTATCTTTAAAAATTTATTTGAATGCCTTCCCGATTGAAGTTTTAGCTGAAAATTGGTATGAGTAAACTAGACTTAATGAATAAGATGCTCAAAAAGTTTCATTGAAAAAGTCCATCGGGAACCACCCCAAATGGCGTCAGCCGGACAGAACCTCCTATATAAGGCCTTATTTGACATTTTTTTGTAAGTTTGATGCCCTATCTCACCCTTTTTCCCTTTTTTGAAGTAAAACGACTATATTGATATCATTAGAATCAGGATCGTTACAATAATCTCAAACTGACCAGAACTGACAACAACCTTCACCTTCCAACTACTACTTTTAGCCCTACTATTAGACATAGAGACGACCACCCCTAAAGAAGCAATACGAATCGCTAACCACCAGATGGGCTTAATGTAGCTATTGCTGAAAAAATAGATCCATCCCCAACTAACAATATCAAATCTAACCGAACTCTCGATCAATGTAAAAAACCTATTACCATAAACAAATACCAAAAGCAAAACGATAACAACGAAGTTCTTCAAAAACAGACTAAAAATGGGGACAATTAATTTAAGTAGGATGAACTTGTTGGAAAAATGTGTTAAAAATTTCATTAAATGGTCATTTTGAGGCAATTATTTGAGTGGGTCCACTTCTGATTTGGGTCGGGTCAAAGTGGTTTCGGATTGTCCTTGTTAAGGGCTACAATTCGATATATGGTACACTCAAAACGGATAACGGGTGAGTGAGAAATTGATTCTCGAAGTTCACTCGTTGAAATGGAAAAACTGGGAAAATGATGAGTTTCTAGTGTGTTTTATCCCACACCGAAAAACTCAAGGGATGTTCACCCCCTTATAAAGGGAAGCCTCTTTTAAGGAGTTAAGATTCCTAAGGGTAAAGGCTCTTTCTTACGCGCAGGGGGGGGGGGGGGGGGGGCGATCAAATCCCGAAACGGAGAAGAAAAACCGTCACTCGTGTGCGCGGGCGACCTGCGGACACGAATGTCGTCCGAAAACCTATCATTCAAAGATACGGTCTAATTTTGTTTCTTCCCGTAACGTTTTATTTTTCCCAGTGACAGAAGGGGTGGAGTTCTGTCCGGAACAGAAACCCTCGAGGTCTTCTGTTCGAAACAGAGACGCTCGAGGTCTTCTGTTCGCAACAGAGACCCTTGAGGCCTTCTGTTCGCAACAGAGACCCTCGAGGCCTTCTGTTCGCAACAGAGACCCTCGAGGTCTTCTGTTCGCAACAGAGACCCTCGAGGCCTTCTGTTCGCAACAGAGACCCTCGAGTCCTTCTGTTCGCAACAGAGACCCTCGAGGCCTTCTGTTCGCAACAGAGACGCTCGAGGCCTTCTGTTCGCAACAGAAGGTCTTCTGGTCCGTTACAACAATTAATGCCCAACGTTCTTCTCTTTTAATGCTGCGTTAAAAGGACAGTTTATGGACGATTCAATGCCCAACGGACTGGTCATTGATGTCCAACGTTCAGGTCCATTAACACCTCATTTAACACACAACAAATCCTCCTATAAATAGCTGGCAGGTGCTTTGCAACAAAGACACGGTTTTGAAAACGCACAATACATTCCTCACGTTTTCTTGAGCTAAAAACTCTTCCAGCTACTCCCAAATTTCCCTAGTGTTCTGCTATTGTTCCAGTTCGCCGGGACTTTCGTTTGTGTGCTCAAACGATCGTTCATTAGCCACCGTATCCTGGGAAACGGTCGTTGCAACGCTCCTAGCACCGTGGGAGGCGACGAATACGTTTTAAGGACATCGTACGTAGCACGAGCTCTGGCTAAAATCTGCTCCATCTTATTTTCTGTTTTCTTTTAGCTATTTTGTATATTAATTAATTTTATTTAATTAATATTTCTTCGTTTTTTCCGAAACACACCCAACAGAACTTAGTGAGCCGCTGAACCCAATCTTCCAGTGCGGTGTTCCGACCCCTAATCACCCATTTCCAGCATGGCGGTGGTTCAGGAGGGGGGGGGGGGGGGGGGGGGATCAACATATGTAAGGAAAAAAGAGAGAGGGAGAGAAAGAAGACTATTGTATGTCGTTAAGAAATCGCCGGCCGCCAAGGAGTTCCATTCTCGCCGGAGAAGGAAGGAAACACTGTCGGGAAGCTTACTGGCTGCACTCCATCACTAGGCCGTATCACTGTTTATTCTCGCCGGAAGAAGCTGTTGCGTCATGAGTCAAGACGGTCGAGTAGAACTGCGGTGCCGGTTATCTCTACGCAAGGAAGAGAGCGTAAAAGTGCAGTGATCATTGTAAAGAAACGAAATAGAAGAACGTAGGAGGCATCACCGGTAAGTTCCATGTCAATCAAAATTATATTTTTACCTCGTAAATCTATGTGTGAATGTTACTTGTATGTATTTGGTATCAAATTAAATTATGAGTACTTGAATTATGAATCGTGATTGTAAATGTTATTTGGGATTGAGCTATTTATGTTGTATTTTGAGCTATTTACATAGTAAGTTATATTTTGAGCTATTTTGAGAAATCAGGCTTTAACGATAAAATATCCTTATTCTTGGAATGTTGGAATTGTATCTACAATAGATACTGGATTTCGGAAAGTATTAAAGATAAAAATTATTTTTCATAAATGTGGGCATCACGAGAGAAACATGTGGTGTCGGTCTCCTTCACGACCGTTAATTGTGAGACATTGTTAGGGGCTAGTACTGCTTTTTGGTGGATTCGGTACTATTGTTACATATTAATACCCGGTAGACATTCCGGTATTTTTGTGAGGGCTTTAAAAGCCCTTTGGTGGTCGCAGTGATAGTTTTCTAGTCACTCAGGGAGTATATCCCTTTGAGGAGTAGCTGGTATAAACTACTCGGGCTACTTGGGCTTCTTACTACCCGGAGGGCTTGGAATCCCTTTTAGGGGGTGTGCACACTTAAGGTAGAAGTTCAGTTTCCAACAGATGGTCGGTGGGAGCCGGAATTCCGGGATGAGTTGTAAATAACAACAACTCATTGGGCTCAAGGAATCTTGAATTTCGCCCATCTTTAAAAGAAGCTTTAGGATTTGTGAAGAAACCCCAAATTTAGAATTCTTACTATTTTTCTAATGTATACATATGATATGAGACATTGAATTATTTTTGAAGGCTCTATTTATTATTGATAGAGTATATATCTAGAGAGAAGTGAGAGCTAGAGAGAGAGAAGGGCAATATATGCTTCAATAGAATGATTTGGTAACCCTGATAACTACCTCCAGAGGAAGTATTTATAGGGAAAATATGGACTGGGTTCCCAAGCCTTGGGCTTGGGAGGCCCATTTACAACTGGACCGCTATTGAGCCGAATACAAAGCCACTAATGGGCCATACAAATGAATAAGTGTAAAATCTGGTTCTGTGAGGCTTCCGTGGCCGACGAGGGCGCGGCCGACGAGGACACCCTGGTTCCCTGGCTTCAGGACCATATTCTGAGTTGGTCCCTCTTTGGCCGTCGAGGGTCTTCGTGGCCGACGAGGGCACCACGTGGTGGCTGTGCTTTCTGTTCTTCTGAGTATGTGGGTCCTGGGGCCTGGACCCATATACTCCATCAGGAGTCCCCCACTCTCTAAGTTGAGATGTAGACGAAGCGCAGGAGAGTAGATTTCTGTGCTTGATGCTTCTTGGCCGATGTGGGACCGTTGGCCGTTACCTGTCGCGACGCTTGATAGCCCTGTGTTTTGGGTTTGGTCGTTGCCTGTCCCCTGATGCGGCCGGGGAGGGCCCTTGTTCCTTTGGTGCGCTTTGTTTGTTGGATGATGCGCGTTCTGGCATAGGTGGCCGATGAAGGTAGTATTTGTCCTTGGGGGTGTTACAACCTTTCCTTAAGGTGAGTCCACAATTGATGAGCATTCTTGTAGTTTGTCAAAGTGTGCTTCAAATCGGCAGAAATTGTGTTGAGCAGCCAAGAGACGATCATTGACTGGAGTGTCGTCCAATCATCTTTTGTGCAGGGGCGTTTCGGTTTCAACAGGGTGCCATCGACGAAAAAGAACTTGCGTATCGCACGAAGGGCCAACCGTATTGAGTTCGACCATTCAACATTGTTGTCACCGTTCAACCTCACTGGGGTAACAAAATCCCCCAGCCGGTCCTGCGGTCCAAGATAGTATGGCGAATTGTGATCAATTTTCGAGGTGTCTGCTGCCTTAGCTTCTCCGTTTGCCATGAGTACTCACCATTGGAACGAAATGTTTTAATACATTTGTCCACATGGACCAATCATAATGTTGCAGGTAAATTATTTAAATCTAAATTCAAAATAATATAATGATTTGGACCAATCAAGTGAGTGGTAGGTACGATATCTCATTTTTAAATGGGTACCGGACTTGTCACCTTATTATTTTGCTATCTTGATATGTATTATAACCGAGATGTGCAGGAGTATATGTATACTCATGACCTAGCAATACATGAAAAGGAAATATTACAAATAATTGCTATTAAATGATAGGACTAAAAATAGGACTAAAAATATCCACTATCCTAAAATAGGTAATCTTCATATTAATGAAGTACAAATAGAGACAAAAATGGGAATAGAAATAAAAGAAGAGAGTGTGTGGGGAAACGTTTGGTAATTTTTTAGTTTTTATACATAGTGTGGAAAATGTGTGTACAATATTGGTACACCAAACTTTGTTTATTTCCCGTTTAAAACGCC